GTTCTAGAGAAACAAAATCATAGGGATGAGTTTTCTAATTTGGTTCGCCAGTCTGACTAATTTTAAAAGCACTGATACAGGGTGGAGGCATGTGTGGCCTCCACTTAATAAGAATTGGTCTTTGGCTGATTTTGAGTTGGGTCCTCTTTCCCTCTTGTGGAGTCAGAGGAAGTCACACATGGCCCGACTTGGTTTAAGCAGTTGGCACTGTGAGCAGGATTCACTGCAATGCATCCAGACCTATGAAATTATGATGTTTTGAAAGAGAAAGAACAAAGCGGCATGGGATAAAATGCTTAAGTGGGGAGAAAGGCAGCTTCAGGAGTTGCCTATAGCAGATGTCATGATCATTAAACAGGACAGCTCATCAGGGGCCTGGGCCTACTGCAATCCACCCTGCAAGAAGCCCAAGGACATCTACATGTAAAAGGGGTTAGTCCAAGGTATAGAAGAAAGGATTGAACTTGACTGTTTTAAAATGTTTTATGCGTTAGACTGCTGATGGCAATGAATATTGGTAATTATGATTACAGAGAATTTGTAAGCCTGCCTTCAGCCAATACTTGATTGGATTTGCTAAATGAGGAGTTAGAATTTGCCTGGAAAAAGTAGGTTTTTTGCTTTACGGGGCTGTACGTGCAATCCTGAGGCCCACCTTGAAAAGACTTGCAGACCAACCCAGAACTTCTAGAAGAATAGGAGATTCAAGCAGTGAAAAAATGCTGACAATTTGGTGTTTGGAGTTTTGGAGGCATCGAGGCAAGGAAAGTTGGTCCAGCAGGAAAAAAATCCCTTGCAGAACGGAAAGTTCTGGTGTGGTGATGGGTTAATGCGCTGGACTGCAAACTTGTTTGAACCACAAGGTTGGCAGTTCAAGCTCATTAGACAGTCCTCGGAAACTCTACACAGGGTCTCCAGGGGTCGAATCCCACTCAAGGGCACTTAACAACAACAACAACAACAGGACTGAAAGTTAGAGAACCTGCAAGCTTTATGCTCCATGGTAACCACCTAGATTACTTGTGAGTGGAATTTGGGGAAATGCAGCAATGAAGATAAGGATTGAGGTTGGACATGTTCTACTGGCACCCACTGGCCTTGAGATAAGAGGAGTAGGAAGACTGGGTGGTTGGAAGTTTAGGAGGTTGTATGAACTCCTCAGTCCATGGGCACTGACATAGCCCATGGGGGTTAGGGCTGAGAGCTAAGGGCAACTGGCTTGATGTGCAGCGAGGTGTGTGTGGACTTCTAAACTTGCAGCTGGTATCCATTTGATGTAGCTTGGATGATTAGTATTCAGTTGTGATCTGAAGCTAACCAGATGACAATAAAGATATTTGATACTGTAGGTAAGTATCCAATGCTACAATTTGATGGATTGGACTTTTGCTTATGGATGCAGTTTCTCAAAATTCCAAAAGGAAGATTCTTCAGATCAAGGAACATGCTTGTCTCCTCAGTGTACTGAGTTGATAGGGATGAGCAATTTAGACATTGGCAATCAAAAATGAGGGTGGCTGTAAAGGCATGAAATGACTAGCTTACAAGTTTTCATGAGTTGCTTAGTTTTTGAATGAGGAGACAAGGGAGAATCCCCTCTGAATAGGTTTCCTCTTTTCTAGATGATTCTGGAGAAAGGGACTAGGGTATGATGCTGATAGGATTTTATGATTTAATTGTGAATAATTATTAACAGACTTAATTGTGATAATCAAAACTGTAATTGTAGAATATGTATAAATAAAAGGAGGGAGTAGTTATCTTGCATTTCAGGAACAGACAGCCCCAGGATCACTGAGAAGGAAGAGTGTAATTGGAGCATGGGATCTCTGCCTGGAAGAGCGATGGCAGCAAAGATGACCACAGAGGTGGAAGCATGGAAAGACAGAGCATCTATAGAGTCTAAGCCCATGGACTGAATAAGGCTGTGGACCTACAGGAAGATGGCTTTCAGAATGTGCCCATTGAACAGTTAAATGAATATATATATATATATATGCTTGTTTTGTTCTATAAGTGTGCATCAAATATTTTTGCTTTCTTCATTTGTGATATATAAGTGAGGCCAGTGCGTTCTCAGTTGTACATGGTTTAGTTATATCATCTTAGGTGCAGGTATGACTTTACAATTTTTAAAATTTATTTACAGATTATGCATACAGTTTCTAGGTATCAAGTTGACAGGGGTGAAATATAATGGTTAGTGTTTTGTGTCAATATGACAAAACACTAAGTTAAGATTTCCAGAGGCTTAGTAGTTGGGATGTGCTTCTTCCCATGGTGATGGAACCTACTACAGGCATAGTTAGCTCTATGATGAACAGCTTGAGCAGCCAATCAGTTAAAGGAATGCTTCCTTAGGGAAGCCTGCTGCCAATATAATGGACACACTAGAGGGACTCTCCTTCTCTTCTACTGGGGACCTGGGACTCTGCAATTGTAAGCCATTTCTTTGATGATATACTTCTCTCTCTCTGTCTGTCTCTCTTTCTATGCTTCACTGGTTTTGCTTCTCCAGAAAACCCAGCCTAAGGCTACACTGCAATGCTAGAGTGAGTCTAAATACAGATTTACCACTTACCTTTAGACTCCTAGTTTTTTCTTTGTATACACAAGTTATGTTTATGATAAAAAGGTTTCCCAAACTAGTAGTACTTTACCCTCAAATCCATTATTCAACCTCCAATGAACCCAAAATATGTGAGTGGGTCCATTTTAATCTTCTTCTCTAATTGAAAAAATGAAGTAAATATTCTTTTAGAATATTTTCACTTGCTTACCATTACCCTACCTCACAGACGACACTGGAAAAGGGTAAGAAGGAAATCATGCTATCACTTACCTGTAACTATGACCCAGATATAAGAAACATGAGTGAAAAGAAAACTTTCCTGTGCAGTGAAAACAATCAAGTAGACCAAAATCTACAAATCCATTGGCGTTAAGTTGATCTGGACTCAAACAGATTTTATGTGACTGAGTAGAACTGCCCCATAGGTTTCCAAGGCTATCATCGTTACGTAACTTGACTGCACCTGTTTCTTTAATGGTGTGCCTGATGGGTTGGAACCTTTGTCTTTTCTATTAGTGAAGTTTAACTACTGTACCACCAGGGCTCCTCAAGTAGAACAAAGAATCACAATCCCTGCATTCAAGTCCCTTTTTTGCTATTGGTGACTTTGAAGAAGGTCACCAACTGAGGCTTAGTGCTCTCTTCAACAAGATGCCTTCAACTCAAAATTCTTATGATTCAGTAAGGTATAATGTGATAGAAATGTAAACGACATGTCAAATAATATCTCATCCCTAATAATATTCACTAAACATTTCAGCCCATCCTATCCACCTGCTGCAGGAATAGTCTCACATCATGTGGTATGCTAGAACATAAAGGACTTTCTATCAAAAGCCATAAAGCACCCAAGCTAAGGATTGCGGAAAGTTTTAGTTCCTTAAAGCTTACAGGGTTCTCTAAGTGACTAAAGCAAAGCACAGAGCTGATCAAAACTCTTTATTACCATAATAATCCATATATCCCTATCTCTGAGTAATTGGGGCAGCTCTTTTAAAAATCGCCAACGTCACTGTTTAAACAATGTTTGCTAAAAATAGTATCTGAGTCTTAGGTTTTAATCTGTTAGCACATTGTTCCTAGACATGAATTTCAAGTCTCTAAAGACTTGAAGGAAATTTAATTAAAGGAGAGAAGATAACATTAGTTACAATACTACAATAGGTACAATGGCTGTAATTCTCCAAATTGCATTGGAAGGTTCTGAAATAAGATAGCCTTTCAATCATACACATTACTAACAGTTGGTCAAGAATTATTAATAATATCATGTTTGCCGTGATGAATTAATTTAGCAACTCAGTGATATCTGTACAGATTAATATGAATGATTCCACTTCTATAGATTATACTGTGGGAAGGCGGGAACATATATTAGCATAGGTGTTCTTGGGTTTAGTTACCTTTGACGACCAAGTTTCCAGTACTGCTGGCAGTTCCAAAATGGTTAGTAGCTATGCAGGTATAACTCCCAGCATCTGACTTAGTGACGTTGATGATTCTGAGGCTCCCATCTTCAGAAATGCTAATTCTGAAATCAAGGCAAATAAACCAGAAAATGACAAGTCTATTCTACATGGCTCCTTGGCAGTGATTTCTGTCATTTCTCAAACAGTAAGTTATGGCTGTCTTATTTTGACAGTCTCATCTTCATTTTAAGTATTTGTCTATAGCAGCATCAATATTACTAGTATATGTCTCTTGTTACTGTGTTTAATATCGCTTCTTGCTAAAATGTTCTCAACATTCAGACGCAATAACTTTCAGAAACATTACATAGGTTATAATCATTTCTTCTTCTTTGCTACCTCTAACCACATTATGCAAAGGAAGATTCACTATAGATCATGGTTATCTCTAATAAGGGATAAGGAAAAAATCCCTTGATTGACCATTTTCATTGAAAGTGGTTTTTCTAGATGAGAGGTTCAAATTAAATGAGGCATTGTTAAGCATATTTATGTCGTGAAATATGTCAGCCAATACAGTTTTTAACGAGATGCAAGTTTTTAATGAAATGCAACTGAACTTAAAAAGATTAAAATATTCCACAACTTGGTGTGATGTTGGCAGAATAGCAAATGTGGATTGTACATCTCTGGCCCAACAATGAGAGACTGCCATCTACTACATGGGGGGAAGGGAACATATCTGCTGACAGACACAAAAGCTGGGGGAGAAAGGATTTTAGAGAGCCTTGTTTTCAACATGACAGTGGCTGAAGAGAGCAGGAAGGTGCTGATAACAAATAAGCCATAAAGTCTGTCTTAAAAGATGATACAGAAATGAGCAATGCACACACATAATAACTCATTCAAGGTAATGTTGGCTTCATCCCTGCTATATATTTCAAATCTACCCACTTCCTTCCATCTCTTCTGCTCTCTCCCTCTTGCTTAACTAGTGTCTTCAGGTACACTCTTGCCCCCCAAATCCATAGTTAGCTATGGGCTAGATGATCTTTTAAAAACATAAACAATGTCACAACACTCCCCAAGCTTTCCTTGGTTCCCCACTACACTCAGAATTTATGAGGAAGAATCAAAAAGTTTGTGGGAAAACTGCATTAAATAATAATAAACCAGCTGTGATCAAAGGACAGCATTTATCCCAGGACCAAGTTTGGAAGAGTTAGAAAAGAAGGAGAAATAGAATAGAAAAGCACAGGGAAGAAGTAGAGGAAGTAATGTTACAGTGAGCGGATTGCCTTCCAGGAGGTGAAACACAATGTGTATGAATTGTCAAATGTAAAAATGATGAGCTGTTCTATAATTCTGCACGCAGTTCACAACAACAAAATGTGTGTGTGTGGGGCGGGGGGAGGAAAGGCATTTCTCCACAAACTTTTAGAAGCCCTCTCATAGTCCCTTTAGGATACACAATGCCTAAATGAATGTGTCTTTTTCCTCTCTCCCAAGTTATTTCATTCTCTATCACACAGAATAGAAATGCCCCAGATGGTTTCCTGATATTTACAGGATGAGGTCACTCGGTCTTTTACCCATGGAGTTATTGGTGGTTCAAACTACTGCCAACCTTTCTGTTAGCGGGCAGAATACTTAACCACTGCACCACCACGGCTCCAACAATGCCTAGCTGTTAACTGAACGTTGACGGTTTGAGTTTACACAGACGACCCAAGAAAAAGGCATGCCAATCTACTAAAAAATCCGCCAGTGAAAAACCTTTAGAGCACAGTTTTACTCTGACACATCCTGGGTCGCCATGAGTGGTAAGTGACTATGGCGATTGGTTTCTTAGCCTCAGGTTTAGCAGACATGTAGCCTTCTCTCTGAGACCTCTCCTGACTTACATTTCTAAATTGTATCTTCCTGTTATTCTCCTTCTCAGAAGCTATTTTATTTCTTCATACTGAAGACAATCTCGAATTTTCATTTGCACGCTTATCCAACAGAAAGAAGCTTCCCTGAGGTCAGGGACCAAGTGTATCTTATGGTATGGCAATCTGCTCCTATAAAAATTACACAGCCTAGGAAAACTGCTGGGGAACTCTACCTCACCATATAGTGTTTTTAGCTAGCCCTGGTGATGCTGTGGTTAAGTGCTAGCTGCCAATCAAATGTTAGTTGGTTGAACCTACCAGCTGCTCTGTGGGAGAAAAGTGTGGCCATCTGATTCCATGAAGATGACATTCTGTAACCAGATAGGGCAGTTCTATTCTGTCCTGTAGGTTTACTATGAGTTATAATCGCCTTGAAGGCACACAACAAACCACACACAGAGCCGAGCTCACTTAGTCAGCATTTTCACATCACAGGTGAAACTTTAAATACGCAGGTCCATAAGCGCTTTGTCTAATTGTCTGAAGGGTTCTCAGAAGTCTGGTGTGGTGCTGTTGGATAACGCACTCACTGGACTACAAGGTCAGTTTGAACCACAAGATCAGTGGTTCAAACTCACCAGACACTCCTCAGAAACCCTAAACAGGGCTGCTATGAGTTGGAACTGATTCGACGTCACTTAGCAATAACAAAGGACTTTTAGGGATGGAGAAGTCAGTCTTCCTGAGGACCCATTCCAGGGTTTTATGACTTAGTAAAAGGCAGTAATGGTTCGGTGGTAGAATTCTCGTCGTGCATTCTGGTGACATAAGTAGATTTCCAGACAGTCAGTCAGTGGAGGCCATGTGTTGCTGTTATGCTGAACAGTTCCCAGCAGAACTTCTACACTAAGATGGACTAGGAAAAAAGGTCTGGGAATTCAGATAACAGCAAAGGACTTTGGAATCAAAAGGATGTAGGGTCAGAGGTCAGTTCTGTCAGCTTTAGCTGTGTCATGGCAGGAGATTTGCTTAACTTTCTAAGTGTTTGCTTCTTTAGCTATAAAATGGCATTGCCAATATCACTATGATAGGTTTGTAATAAGAATTAGATAAGAGAGATTCCTACAGTACTTCATGACATTTAGTAGGTCGTTGTCTCTTTGGGGAGCCCTGGTGGTGCTTTGATTAAATGCTCAGCTGCTAACTGAAAGACCTGTGGTTTAACCCATTAGCTGCTCCAAGAAGGAAAGATGCAGGAGTCTGTGTTGGTCCCAGCCTTGTGACCCTGGGGGACAGATGTACTCAACTATATAGGGTTGCTGTGAGTCAGAATTGATACAAAGACAACAGGATTGGTTTTGTTGGTGTTTATCTTTTTCCAAGGAGCCCTGGTTACGTTCTTGACTGCAAGCTAAAACATCAGTGATTTGAGCCCACTAGCTGCTCAGCAAAAGAAGCCCGGATAACCGTTCCCATAAAGATTACAGCCTGGGAAACTCTGCATGGTAGTTCCACTCTGCCCTATTAGGGTTGCTATAACTTGGAATGGACTCAATAGCACACAACAATAACAAACAGCAACAGTTTGTTCTTGTCTTTGTTAAGTGCCATCAAGTCGGTTCTGACTCATAGTGACCATGAGTAGAGTTTCTGAGACGCAGATGGTGGGTCTGCACGTCCATCTTCGGTTACCAGTCCAGTGCTTATTCTACAGCACTTCACTTACTTTTGAAAAACTGTGTCCTCTTATTCCATCACTTGTACAAATGGGGTTGTACAAGGAGTTGTCAACATCCTCTTAATATATTTTCATTTAATATGGTAATTAAATCAATCTTTTTGTACTTCAAATACCATTTCTGACAATCTGAAGTCAGTATAAAAATTAACTAAGTCATCCCAACTGAATGCACAAGATACAGACAATGTAGTTCCTTGCTCATTCAAAGCACAGATGGACACATAGTTACTCAGTAAAGATCATCTGATACCTCATTTGCCAAAGAGCAGATGCATCGGCAAAAATAGAGTGGTGATCAAATCCTAATTGCCTCAATAATCATTCTAAACTTTCAAATCCTTTTTACTACCTAACAAAAATAGCTTTAAGGGAGCTAATCATACTCCTATTTATAAAATAATTCACTAGAAATTATGAAATGTTGATACATAAAAAATCAACAAGTAAGGTGACATTACTGTTTTGGATATCAAATGATATTTTTTTTCCCTACTAAAGCACAGGCCTGGGGCATAGGAAGCATTCTGCAGGGTGAGTTAACTCTTTCAAAGCACGTTTTTGTTCTGTGCAATCGAGTTGATTTTCAAGCTCTAACTCTATGTAACAGAGTAGAATCAACCCAGAGGCTTTCCTAGGCTGTGATATTTATGGGAACTGATTGGCAAGTCTCTTCTCCGATGAAGCTGTGGCATGGGATTGAACTTCCAACGTTTTAGTTGGGAGTTATGCATTTAAGTCATCAGGGCTACTTTCCAAAACATGAAAAAATAATCTGTTGCTACAGTTACTTCCAATTCAGAGCAACTCTATAGAAAGATGAAGTCGAATGTCTTTCATAGGTTTTCTAAGGCTGTAATCTTTACTGAAGCAGGCAGCTACATGTTTGTCCTAAGGAGTTGGTGACACTGAACTGCCTAGCATTAGGTTAGTAGTCAAGCACTTAGCAACTGTGCAAGCAATCAAGGTTCCTTAGCATTCGGGCCGATTTGTAATTTGTACCGATAAAGCACTCTTCTTGTGATTCCCCAAACAGGACAGCACATTTTGTAGAGTGTCAAAGGATATGAAAACAGAAATAAAGGATTTGTCGCTGGATGACTCAGGCTCTGTTCCTTAACTCTGGTAATGATCTTGTACAAATGACTTGGCACCATTAATATACTGGGAGTCCTGGTGTGGTGCTGTGGGTTAATGAGCTGGACTGCAAGATTGATTTAAACTGCATGGTTGGTGGTTCAAGCTCACCAGCTGCTCCTTGAAAACCCTATACAGTTTGTTAATGTTGTTGTTGTTAAGTAACACATCAAAGGCACTTAACAACAACAACATTAACATACTGTACCGGAAAATTCTTTGTCCTCAGAAGAATATCTACCAGAAGCTCTGCCTCTACCCACTGGATTTCAGTATTTTATCTGATCAAAACCTCTGCAGACATTGTCAAAAGTCCCCTGAAGGGTAAAATTGCTCCTGTTTAAAATGTCTAAGACCCTTTGGTTAATGTGCT